ACCCACTTCACGGCCTCCCAATAACCCTTCCTAGGTCGTGCATGTACCTAGACATCATGCTCATGGCTTATGACAAATCTGACATTGTACACACTATAGCATACATAAAGCTACCTACAGTACTGGTATATGGAACTTTAGACATGTATTCGGGGTCCTAACTGAAACATGTGACATCTTACCTAATAGCTTAAAGTGATGAGCTAATGGAATACTTACCGCCTTGACATTACCATCAAAACTAAATTTCCTCATCATCTTTTGTAATTAACTCCTCTGAGTCAACTTCAACCTCCCCTTCACCCTGTCTCTCTTAATTTTCATACCCAATATCTAATTTGCTTCTCCAAGATCCTTCATCTCAAATTCAGATGACAATTCCTTTTTTAACTTCCTAATAGCTGAAGTATTCCTGGAAGTAATGAGCATATCGTCAACATATAACAACAAATAAATATACTCGCTATTCTATAGCTTGTGGAAATACATACACAGGTCATATGGGCTCCTCGTGTACCATTGGCCAATCATGAAACTGTCGAATCTCTTGTACTATTATCGCAGTGATTGCTTCAATCCATAAAGAGATTTCTTCAGTTTACATACTAAATCTTATTTTCTTGCAGCTCTAAAACCCATCGGTTGTGACATATAGATCTCTTTTTCTAAATTTCCATATAGAAAGACTGTTTTCACATCCATCTGGACCAAATCCAAATCAACCTATGTCACTAATGCCAATAGTATTCTTATCAATGAATGATTCACAACATGTGAGAATACCACGTTGTAATTAATGCCCTCAAGTTGGGCATACCCTTTGATAACCAATTTGGCTTTATAACGAATGCCCCTATCAGAAGATCCTTCTTTCTTCGTATATACCCACTTGCATCCAATTGCTTTCTTACCATTTGGTAATTTTGTAAGTTCCTAAGTGTCATTCTTTTGAAGAGAATGTATCTCCTCCTCCATAGCTTTCCTCCACCTGATTGAATCAGAGCTTGACTCTACTTCCTTATATGTAGAAGGAACCAAATCATCAATGACCTCTACTGATAAAGCATATGCAATCATCACATCATCATATCTAGCCGACTGACGAATGATTCTTCTTAGTCTATTAGCTGCAATGAACTCCTGAACATGACCTTGTTCCTGAGTCCCAATATCCACTGTATCCTTCACCTGCCCATCTATCATATCTCCTCTCAGTGTCATCTATGTAGAAGACTTAATGGATACAATGCTATCTGAAGTCTGTGGAGTCACATCATCCTCCATCTCCTGCGATATCACACTAGTCTGACCTTCCTCCACATGTTGAGGGACCTGAGACCTCATTATGTGAGTCTCATCAAAAGTGACATATCTGCTAATGATTATCTTCTTGTCTTCTGGATCCCCCAACTTGAAGCCTTTAACTCCATCTCTAAAATCCACAAAGACTGCTTTTCTTGCCCCCAGATTCAATTTTCTATCATTCACATGATAGTAAGTTGGACACCCAAATATCCGAATCAAATCATAATCACTAGCCACTGTACCAGACCATATCTCTATAGGAGTCTTTCAATGTATTGCAGTGCACGACAACCTATTCACGAGATGACTTGCATAAACCAACGCCTCGACCCAAAAGGATCTAGCTAATCCACTTTGTGAGAGCATACAATGCACCTTTTCTAGCAAGGTAAGGTTCAATATCTCAGCCATCATGTTTGACGCCTAATGCCATGATTCCAACAAAACTGTAAAAATAGATCATTCTTATACTCACCACCATTATCAGAACGGAGTACTTTCACCTTTTTACCTGTTTGCAGCTTCACTTTTTTCCCATTTTACAAAGATATCCAGGACCTCGTGTTATATGCTTCATGGTATATATCCAATTCCTCCTAGAATTATCATCGATGAAAGTGATAAAATAATTGGCCCCATCAAGAGATGTGTTTTTGGAAGGACCCCAAACATCTGTGTGAACATAATTTAATATACCTTGGGTGTTATGAATCGCGATGCTGAATTTCACTTTTATCTTCTTTCTAAGTATGTAATGTTCACACAACTCCATCTTGCGGGTCTTTGCACCCTTCAATAGCCCCTACTTTGCCAATATCTGTAGAGACTTATCACCGGTGTGTCTCAATCTCATGTGTCATAGACGGGTAGTATTCTCCTCTGTGGTAATAGAAGTTGTCAGACCCTCTGTTACCGTCTTGATTTTCAAGTAGTAAATATTATTTTTCCTGACACCTGTCATCACCACCATGGACCCCTTGGTGACATTCAAAGTTACATTCTCCATGATCACCTTATAATCTGATGCCTCCAAAGTTTCAAGTGAAATGATATTCTTCGTCAATTGAGGAACGAAACTCACTTCCTTCAACTCCCTAGTCACACCGTCACATATCCTGATTCGAATTGTTCCAATACCACCAATGAGACATACATGATCATTTCCCATTAACACGACATCCCCTCTCTCCAACTCCTCAAAGCTAGAGAACTAATCCATCCTAGGACAAATGTGGTATGTAGCACCTGAATTCAACATTCACTCTATAGAGTCTTCATAACAAACTGATGGTAATGCTGGGCATGAATAGCCTGAAGAATCTAAATATGAATTATCACCACTAGCTTTGGCAACATTCACCTCTGAAGTTTGAACGACTTTCCCTTTGTTCTTCCCGGTTCTATCTTTCAACTTTGGGCATTCATTTTTTCAATGTCCATCTTCTTTGTAAAAAGCACATTGATTCCTACCCACACTTCTATGACCACCTCTTGGCTTCGATTTTGAGCGATTAAATGGACAGGGTTTGGGACTACGGCCTCCCACAGCCAATGCATCTCCCGATGCCTTCTCGGAGGGTTCGTCATCACTCTTTCTTAACTCATAATTCACCAATGCTGAGGTCATCTCCTTGTAACTAAAAGTGGTCCAACCATTAATCATTGTGAGGACAAAGGTATCATAATCATCCTCTGGCAACAAACACAACAACAACATCGTCTTGTCTTCATCCTCTACCATGATATCCACATTGGCCGTATCCAATAGCAATTTCGTGAAGTTATTGACATGTTCTCTAATGGAAACTCCCATCTTCATCTTGAATTAGTAAAACTTTTTCTTTAAATGAAGCTGATTCTCAATGCTCTTCGTCAAATACCTGTCATTGAGTGTTTCCCACAACCGTTTCGCCGATGTTTCATTCATGACATCATAAATCAAATCCAGCATCAAACACGATCTAATAATCCTACATGCTCTACTATTTATTTTCTTCCAAACCTTATCCTCCATATTATCGGGTTTCTCTTATAATTCAAGAGTCTCCTCCAAATTTTGAGCATCCAATACATCCATCAGTTGACACCTCCACAAACCAAAATTTATCTTGCCATTAAATTTTTGAACATCAATTTTTGTATTAGTAATACTCAAACCTTGTATCGTCTTAGTTAGGGATGATCCAGATGTACTTGCTTCGGTCATGTTGACAATCCAATCTTCAAACGAGAATCTGCACCAAATCCTCTTGTAAAAGCTCTAGCTTTCTCCTCCAAATTGAACCCCAAACCAACCTGGAGCTCTAATACCACTTGTTATGCGCAGTGGAATCAAAGGACATGAACAAGATAGGAGAACAAATCAACAACCAAACACAAGCACCACACAGCAAGACACCAACTTTTACGTGGTTCGACAATGTGCCTACGTCCACGAGGCAAGGAGAGGGAGGATTTCACTAATAGAGAGTACAAACATGGTTTACAATCACTCAATAATCTCACAAAATAACCCTCAAACAAAACTCTCAAATTTCTCACAAATTCTCCTTTTTCTAAGTGCTCAAACAATTAATGTTCAAATCTCAGCTCTCAATCTCTCACATAACCCTAGAAAACGTCATGTTCCTATTTATATCAAGTAGGAATCCAAAACCAACTGGGGAAAACGGACCAGGTCCATAACCGCGATCCGATCGATCGAGACTATGCTCGCGATCGACCGGCCAGAGGGTCAAATTTTGACCCTGTTAAATTCCACAACATTCGGTCGACCGCATAGGCTTAGCTTGTCAACCGACCCGAACAGTGTTTTCTGAGCACTGTAATGTGCAGGGATTCGGTCGACCGGACTCAAGCTCGCGGTCGACCGATCTGCAACCAAAAACGCAATCTTCGTTTTTCCTGATCCTCGTTGCCGTTTCTTCATATCATGCGGGGTATAATGAGTTTCCCGATGAAGCAGAGAATTTGCAGCAATTTGGGAGACATGAGTCAGTGATAAGTAGGCATCTGAATTATTTTGATTATAATCTCACTTAGTGAAACATGAACTAACTTATTAGCTTTTGGTTCAATAATAAATTGTCTTCTAGAACATTGTCTAAAAGGCTTTTTTCAGAGATATAAGTCTAATAAGTTCTATCCCTAACACAATCTCTCAATCTCTCTCTCTCTCTCTCTCTCTCGCGCGCGCGCGCGTGTACTCCAATTGAGTGTTCCATTTTCTTCCATTAATTTATATTTGGTTTTAGATGAAATAGAAGTTGATTTCATATCTTGATTCTTGCTGATCAAAGGAGCGTCTAGTTTTGGATCATGTCCGTCCGCGTGTTTTGGGTGTGTATGCATGCATGGGCGTGCGATTGCCTGTAGGCGTGTGTTTCTGTGTGTGTGTTTGACTCTGTTAGCTACATTTTTTACTCCCGTTAATAAACTCGAGTTCTTAAGCTAATATTTATGCTGTTATTGTATTATGTATTCGTTATAAACTTTTATTGAATTTCTTAGCTGGTTTGCAATTCAAGCTGTAACTTTTCTATATATATATATATATATATATGCAGGCTAAATTTGTGTATTGCTTTATTTGACTATTTTTTTTTTAAATTTCCGCTTTATATTGCGCTCCTAGCCTATTCTGACTCGTGAAGCCGTAGGGGAATCTGAACCTCACAAACATCTCATCTCTCATCTTATTATTATTATAATTATTATTATCATTATCATTATCATCGTTTTACAATCATTTGTATATAGGGAGAGGAAAAAAAGTTACGTTAAATCTTTTAATTAATTAATTAGCTCCCACCCACCCATCCAACCGATAATAAGAGAAAAAGGAGGAGGAGGAGGAGGAAGAAGAAGAATTTATTTGAAAATTTTTGTGATATTATGTTGTCTTCTTCTTCTTTCCCCGTCCCCCCCTCACCAGCTCCTCTCATTAACCGATGCCAGACGATTTCGGAGCTCAACCAAATCCATGCCCAAATCATCAAGTCCAGCCGCTCATCCTCTCATCCCCTCATCCTCCGTCGCCTCGTCGCCCTCTCGCCCTCCCACGGCTTCACGATCCATCTCTACTCTCGGTGGCTCTCATCTTCACCCCACCTCCAAACCCTCCGACTCTCCCTCCCTTCGGTGCTCAAATCCTGCGGCCGACACTCCTCCGTCGAGCAAGCCAAGCAAATCCACGGTCAAATCCTGAAGGCCCACTTCCAGCTTGACCCTTACGTATCGAATTCACTGCTCAGAACGTACTTTGAACTGGGCGAGGACGAAATCGCTTGGAGGGTTTTTGAGAAAATGCCGCAGAGAGACGCCGTTTCTTGGAATTCGGCGGTTTCGGGCTTTGTCAGGTCCGGGCATTTTGGTTTTGCACGCAGGGTGTTCGATGAAATGCCGCAGAAGGATTTGGTTTCGTACAATTCGATGGTTGATGGCTTGATGAAGTGGAATAGGTGTGATCTCGCTAGGGAATTGTTTTGTAGCATGGAGGAAAAGGATGTTGTGAGTTGGACCACGATGATTTCGGGTTACGTGCTTAATTTTAGGCCGAAGGAAGCATTGGAGGTGTTCAGAGAGATGTTGAGCTCTGGCGTTGAGCCAGATGCAGCTGCCGTTGTTAATGTTCTTGCAGCTGTTGCTGATTTGGGTTTTCCTGAAGAAGGCAAATGGGTACATGCCTATCTCCGTCGAAGCAATATTAAGTTAAATTCCGAGGTGCTTGGATCAGCGCTTATTGATATGTACTCAAAATGTGGGCTTGTGACCAATGCTTATAATGTCTTTAGAAGCGTATGTGATGGGAGACGAGTGGGTGATTGGAACTCTATGATCTCGGGCTTGTCAATCCATGGTCTAGGTCAAGAAGCCTTGGAGATTTTTGAAGAAATGGAGAGAAACAAAATCCAACCTGACGAAATTACCTTCATAGCAATATTGAATGGTTGCAGCCATAGCGGCATGATAGAAGAAGGTCTGTACTATTTCAAGCTAATGAAAGACAAATATCAAATTGAACCTAGACTTCAGCACTATGGGTGCCTGATTGATCTTTTCGGGCGAGCAGGGCTAATAGAGGAAGCAATGAGAATCATAGGAGAGGCAATGCCAATGGAGCCCGATGCAATGGCTTGGAAATCCATCCTCAGTTCTTGTGTCAAATATGGACTTGTGACTTACGGGGAGCACGCAGCAACGAAGGCTATAGATTTAGCACCACAAGACTCTAGCTCGTACGTGCTCTTGTCAAATATTTATGCAAGGAATAAGCAATGGGAAGACGTCGAGAGGGTTAGAGAGTTGATGAGAGAGAAACGTGTTCAAAAAGTCCCGGGTTGTAGTACGGTGATGATCCATGGCAAGGTTCATGAGTTCATTGTGGGCAAAGAGATGGGGGTTGGATGTAGAGAGGTTGTTTTAAGCAAGTTAGAGGAGGTTATATCTAGATTGAAGATGGAAGGATATGAGCCAGACGTAACACAAGTTCTTGTTCATGTAGGAGAGGGAGAGAAGGAAGGGTTGCTTAGTATTCATAGCGAGAAGATGGCAGTTGCCTTTGGACTTCTAAATTTAGAGGAAGGGAGTTCTATACACATAGTGAAGAACTTGAGGGTGTGTTGTGATTGTCATTCCTTTTGTGAGGTTGTTTCCAAGGTTTATAACTATGAAATTGTGTTGAGGGATCAGAATAGGTTCCACCATTTTAAAGGGGGTTCATGTTCTTGCAAGGGATATTGGTAAAAGATACAATGCACGTACTACTGTACGGCCCCCCCAAAAAAAACATAAAAACATAAAAATAAAACCCCTCCCTCTCCCTGCTCTGGTTATCATATGCAAAATATAAATACTTTGTTCAACGTGTTTGCTACTACTGACCTAATGGGAGCACATTTTACCTTTGATCTCAAGTTAATTTATTAGAAAACCTTTATTATTGATTCAGGTTAAGGAACTGAGCCACTCCAAAGTGCAAAGCTCTATGTGGGCAAAAATTACCTGCTATTTACGATGATAAAATATTTCTTTTGCTCTTGTGTAGCTATGAATCTTACTAAATCTTATTTTATCTCACAAATGTGTGAGCTCTGTGATGCATTTGTTTAATATTTAGATTAGAGTAATCATAGTGAGTTATCATGATTGTGTGCATCTTCTCCCAGGTAGAAAGTGGTTCAATATTCTTTCCAAGTATTATCTACCATTAATGCATATTGTACTTTTATTTAACTAATTATCTTGGTACAAAAATCAGTATCTTTCCCATTCCTGTCAAAATCAAATATTCCATATGCTTAGATTCATGTTTAAATGATCGAGAATAATAAATTAACCGTCTTTTTAAAATGATGGCATAACTTTTGTAGATATATAATTAAGCAGTTGTTTATTGGTTCATTATTATAAGGAGCAGCCAGGATAAATCATGGGAGAAAGTGGCTCACTTCAAACTACTAGTTGAGATGCACACGCAATGCACGTGATTGAATATCATAATTATTTAATTTAATAAAAATAGAGTAAAAATAAAAAACTAAAGTTTTTTGTAAAACCGATCATCAACTCAATAATCTTTTTCTCAAATGAAATATTGTCATTGTTTCCTTTAACTCAGATTGTGGTCACGTAATCTACGATTTGTGAGTTATAAACACATTAATCTAGTATAACATCTCTATTTATTAGTATCTTGAAGTCTTCAAAGATGGGTGATCATTCAATTCGTAATGGAATTTTGCATATAAATTTACTTACAATATGTCCATTAAACTTTTAGTTGTGGTTTGACTCATTCACGTTAACTTTTAGTTGTGTTTTTACTCATATTTATATTATCTAATATTCTCAATCAATTTTAAAGCTCATTCTTTGTTTCACAGAAATAAAACTGAAAGTATGAAGAATTATTTTCTTGCGAAATTAGAACAGTGAGATTATGATATATTTCTCCATGTGCGCTAAATATATAAATTTATTTTTTCTTTGATGCAAGATCTCTATCAAATCTTATCACAAACGATGTGAATGAAAAATGTTATTATAACTCACTTGCCTAGGGTAATTGTATTGTATATAGGTCATATAACTCATCTAGAATATCTATATCTGCTAAGTGAATTTTGTTATTGTGAGAGCAACATGTTAGAGGATCATATTCAAACTTTTTTGGCTTTATAAAAAATATAAGAATTTAGAATGCATAGCTTATATATCGTAAAAATTATATTGGTTCATGAAGAATTTTTCCTAATAACGATATTACTATTCAGTATTAAATTAATTTTATTATATAAGATTATATGACTCTTTTTAAAAAATTATAAAGTGTGTGTGTGTGTATAAAGAGAGAAATGGGTATGTTTGGTACCAAACACAAAATTTGTGCTTGGTAGTGAGGTGTCATATTCTCATCTACTCATTTCAATTCTCAACCACTCCCTAACTCATGTGAATGTGGGGCCAATTTCAATGAGTGGAGGGGAATATGTCACATCACTATCAAGCACAAAAACTTGTGCTGGGTAATAAGCATACTTATATATATATATATATATGGAAATCTCGATGATTATAGCCAGTTGTTGGGCTTTACAAAATATGTTAACTTTACATTATGGTTTGCTATTTTTAGTACTGTTGGCAATGTTATTACCTTTCCTCTTTATCTTATTATTCACGTTTTTCTGATGTCATATCTCTTTTGCTAATCACTCAACTGACTATATTTAGTTTTTATAATATTAGATGTTAGAATATTCTCTTCTGTTTAAAAAGTGTTGATATGATTTTCTTAAAAATATATACACATAGTAGCAATAGTATATGGTTCAGTTCAACTCAAACATTGACTTAAAGCTATTTAGAGTGAGGTCATTTCTATGCTAGAATGGTGATATAGTGATTACACAATCAAAAGTCAAAGAAGAAATTTTACAAAGGAAAAGTAATTTAATATGTCAAATTAACAACTAATTTATAAAATATCCATGAGCAGTGCATATAGCTATAGAAAGTAAGATATATATTTTTATAAAATTTCATAGTGAGTGACCGACTACAATCATCTTGTTGATGAGTGATCACACGGTCAATTAAAATGGTGATTGGGGTGAGGTTAATGAGGGGCCGCTCCCTTCCCCGAATATCTGGTTCCGAGTCTAGTAACTTGAACCTGTACAAATAATAGCTCGTGAGAGGACGGGGCTTGGTTCCCCCGTGGTTGTTCCGCCGATCAAGTGAGCTGGTGAACTTGAGTGGGGAAATGAAGAACTGCGTGAGTTCTTTAATGTAATGATTAACAAGTATTGCTTAAGTCAGAGATTAGATCTCAGAAGACCAGCTGTAGTGCAATTAGCATGTATTGCTTAAGTCAGGGATCAGATCTTAGAAGATTAGACCTCCTCAATGTTAGAATCGTACCTCTATTTACACCGGTGGTATAAAGGCAGAACCGTCATTGTGGCTGAGTACAGTATGGCGCTGAAGGAGCATGGGCTGGCGGCTGCGTCAGCACTTGCTTTATAGGTGTTTGCTGGCGACTGGAGGAAAGATCATCTCAGCATTAAATAAAAAGCGATTGGAGGCATAGCGGTGTCGATGTGGCCCGATGAGTCATGAAGACTATCGGGGCTAGAAGCATGATAATACATGCCAATCATTAAATGCGATGCAGACACGTTTAGTGGGAGAGGCTCGAGGTTGAAGTCATCCTCTAATTTGACCGAGAAGTAACACCTCTCGAGTTGACCTCGCAAGGGGGTCGAATAAATGGTTGAGTGAGAAAGTAGTGAGTCGTCTTCAACAAGAGGACTGATAAGTACCGCCCTTCGAGTCAACCCAAGAAGATGTCGACTCTGCGAGTCGGCTAAGTCGGGATCATTGTTGGTCTTAGCCGCCAATTTGATTGGGGCATTACATGTAAAAGTACACATGTCCGCTACTGGTAAATGGCTGCACTTTGACGAGTGAAACACCACAACACATCCTAATCTAAGCATAAATAGTTATTATTTTAGTTACAAATTTGATACGCGTAACTATGGAATCAATCTCAAGCAAAAAATAGGATTTGAGATTATATTATTCTGTAGATAAATAAATAAATATTATTAGAGCTCTTCTTTATATTAAATTTAAAAGTAATAATTTAAATTATTAAACGCCAAATATTAGCTCATGTGAGAAAGTAAAGTAATCTATTGTCTATATACATATATAGTCAATCAATCAAACATATTAAAATTATGATGACCACAGTCAAAACTATATGGTGGGTTCACATTAAATATAATATATAAAAATAGTACATTAAAGTCAAAATCTTTTTAACCGCTATATAGATTGTCTGAAAATTTTGTATATATAAACTATATTGTCTAGGAATAGTGATGTGCACACTTAACTATATCCTAATAATCTTATGAATGACTTACTCTTCAATATCATCATTAATTGACGTATCTATGTATTACACTGAAAACACAATGAAAATTTAGAAAACTACAACATAAACACATTCAAAAGTTTTAAAATTTACAAAAACACCCTAAAATTTTGTAATTTACAAATGCATAGAACTATTAAACATTACATTGAAATCAAGGAATTACAAAGAATCATTATAAATTTCAAATTTTGGAGAAAGGAATTACAAAGAATCATTATAAATTTTGAACTTTGGAGGGGTAATTTGTAATGTACTAAAGTTTAAGGGTATTTTTTTATAAATTTTAAATTTAATAGATTTTCAATTAGTTATGTTTTTTACAAAAAAGTTAAGGATAATATTGACCATGAAATGTTTTTACTAAACCTATTCTTTTAAAGGGTATAAGATATTTTTTTGCAAAATTTTAAATTCTTGGAGATTGTTTGTAATTTTGCATATTCATTTTAGTGTCTATAGGTTAGAAATTCTCATAGTTTTTTTTTATAAATTATGAATTTTAGAGGGTTTTTTATAATTTTTAAATTTATAGGTATTTTTTACAGATTGTAAATTATTTATAGACTATTTATAATTCCTATGCTTTCAATTTACTAATGAGTTTGAAATTCTCAGGGTGTTTTTTGTAAAATTTAAATTTTAAGGGTATGTTTATAATTTTTAAAACTTTAAGGGTGTTTTCCATAAATTATAAATTATATAGGAGATATTTGTAATTCCTATATTTTTAATGTACTGTTAGTTAGAAATTATTAGGACTTTTGTAAATTTTACAATAGTGTGGGTTTTATGTGGTACTTTTAATGGGAGTATATTCTAAAACGAAATGCAAATCAGTGCGCATGGTGTTTTTTGGTGGGCCAGGCCATGATTCACTCTTGCACCTAAAAGCTCTTGCCAGGCCAAGTTTCGTTAGGCTACTTTCAGGCTTGAGCCCAAATTGTTGTATATTGGACTCGAAAGTATCTGGGCTCTGGCTAGACTTATACACTAAATGAGATATTATTACTTTACAGCCTTCGGCCCAAATTGCCGTCTTTTGGGCTTGTAAATACTTAGTTTATGTCAAATATGTGCAGAGTGATTCGTCGAATGCGTTTTCCTAGAACGAAGCCCATTAAATTTTGCGAGCGCCCATCGCTCACCATTTAATGGAATTTGTCTCCCCTTTGTCCGGTCCAGTCTACGGTCTTAGTCATCTTTGTTCGGTCCAGTCTACGATCTTAGTCATCTCTAACTAATTGCAGTCATAATTGGCTAATAGCGTCTTGGATGATCCACTCTAAATTAACATTATAACATACATGAAAGA